GGAAAAACATTTCTGTAAAAAAATAGAAATATTAAACTTTTAATTCAATTACTAACAATGTTAAAAGTAGACTTGGATAGAAAAAAATCATAAGGAGGTAAGTGATAAGAAAAAAAAAAGATAGAGAGGTGAGTCATAAAAGAGTAAATCATATAACCTTTTTGAACTTTTATCTTTTTTATTATTTCTCCACCATTTTATAATCTGGTTCGAGTTGGGTAAGATTACAAAAATGATAAAACTCTTCTTATAAAATTTGTAAACAGCTGCATACCCAAAAATTGGACTCCAAATTATTGTTTAAGTTAGAACAATCTGTATTAATTGATCCAGGTGATAATTTGATTGCCTTAGATGTGAGATCAAACATAATCTTAATTGGGCGTGACTGATGTAATTATGTGATCAATGCTGGGATTTAATTATATAGCTATGAGTGATTTTATAGCCTAATGGAGAAAATCATTTTCTATATATTGTTTGTTTTTGAAAAAATCATTATGAATGAGAAAAGTTTTTCATTATCGTTGTAAAGATGATATGAAGTCTATGCGACCAAGCGATTTAGAGTTCGATATGCTCCATTTTACTAAAAAAAATTCAGTACAAATGCCTGTTACAAAGCTTTGACCATGTTTGTACATTGTCCGCGTTCCGAGTCTAGTACAAAAAAGGGCTAATACAAAAGAGGACCAGTTAAAAATATAAGCCAACGACAAAACTTTCATTATAAGTACATATAATATAAATACATTTAGAGAAAGATATTTTTCCAGAGTTCAAAATAACGTCGTTTTGGGATTATAAAATTTAAAAATTATAATGATAAAGACTAATATAACTCTGCAATATATTATAATTACAAAAATACATTGATTTCCGTTCCAAAATGATGTCGTTTTGGGCTCACCAAAAATAACTTGAGAGAGTTAAGATTATAAATCAAATATATATGAGTTTAATATTTTTCCAGTCACGTAAGATAAATTATTGACTTCAAAATTATGTAGTTTTAAAATTAAGAAAAATATATTCTTGTAATTATAATTTATTTTGAGATTATATTAATCTTTATTATTATAATTTTTTTTATCCCTAAAACTTCGTGATTTTAAGGTCTTAAACCCATCAAATCGTGGGATCCATCTGGAGAAAAAAAAAACAACAACATGACTTTTGATGGGTTAGCTGGAGAATTTGTTTTTTCTTGAGCAACAAAAGACTCACAAATCTTGATTGTAGGAGTGTAAATAGGCTAGGTTTTGACTTAAATAAGTCAGGTGAACATAAAAAAAAACTCAGGCTTGGTTTGGCCTGTTAATCTGTATAGGCCCTAAGTCTGACCTGACCAATATTAAAACAATAAAAAAATTTGGCAAGGTCGATTAGCCTGTTTAAACATATTAAATATTTAATAATTAAAAAAAACTAAAATAAGAGAAAAGATATACTTACAACCTATTTTCATTTACAACCTATTTTCATTTACAACCTCTTACAATCACATCTTAACCGTTGATTTCCGTTAATCCGACAGTTATAATTTATTAAGAATTAATAATTAATTAATAAATGTGACCCAATAAATTATAACCGTAAGATTAACGAAAATGAATGGTTAAGATGTAGTTGTAAGAGAATGTAAATGAAAATAGGTTGTAAGTATAACCTTCCTCCTAAAATAATATTACTTTATTATTCAAAATTATTAAAATAATAATTTTTATTTATTTTATTTAAAATAAATAATATGATATAGGTTATAGACCTGACATGTAAAAAAGAGCCTATGACTTGCTTTCTAAATAGTTTTTTTAAAAGATTAGGCCTGTTCTATTTGACTATTTGTAATAGGCCAAGTCTGGCCTATTACAGGCTAGGTCGTAAACATCTGTAGGCCGGTCTAGCTCATTTACATCCATACCTGACTGGACAAAACTTTATATTATGTGACTGGACACTAAAGAACTATATATATATATGAGCTTTATTAATCTCATGTAACAGGAGAGAAGCTCTCTCATGTTATAGAGACAATCATGTGTGGGATCCACTCATTTATAGAAAAAGAAAAAGAAATAAAAAAGTAACACGAAAATCGATGTATGAGTAGGAGAGAAAAATGCTCTCCTACAACATAAGAGTATATTTTCCATATATATATATGGGTTCATTTTTTCTGCAGTAAGTCAATACAACGTTGTTTTGGGACGGAAATCATGGTGTTTTTGTAATTTTAATTTATTTCAGGGTTATAATAGTCTTTATATTTATAATTTTTGAGATTTCAATACCAAAACGACGTCGTTTTGGGAATAAATGCAGATAACTTATCTGCTTTAACTGCAGAAACATTTTTCTCTATATATATATATAAAGGGTTCGCTTTTTCTGCAGTTACTGCAGATAAATTATCTGCAGTAAGCCAATACGACGTCATTTTGGGGCAGAAATCATGGTATTTTTGTAATTTTAATTTATTTCAGGGTTAGTCTTTATATTTATAATTTTTTAAGATTTCAATACCAAAACGACGTCGTTTTGAGAATAAATACATATAACTTATCTGCATTAACTGCAGAAACATTTTTTCCATATATAAAATATGAGAAGTATTTTTTATACTATGACCATTCGATTTGCGTGCAATTTTTTATTTAGAATAAATATGGAATCCACCACTAATTAAGTCATAACATGAGAAAATAATTCTCATGCAAGACACATGTATTTGAGAAGTATTTTCTCATATTATGACCATTCGATTTAGGCTTTAACGTTTCTACAGTAAATGTAGATAAGTTATCTACATTCGCTCCCAAAACGATGTCGTTTTGGGTTAAAAATTAAAAAAGTATAATGAAAAAGACTATTATAACACTGAAATAAATTATAATTACAAAAATACCTTAATTTTTGTCTTAAAACGATGTCGTTTTGGGCTCAATGTAGATAAGTTATCTACATTGACTATAGAAAAAGCAAACCCTTCTATTTATGTATAAAACTTTTTTTAAAAATAAGTATAAGATCCACTACTAATTAAGTCATACGGGAAATTGTATATCATTTCGAAGCATATAAAGTTTGTCATTTTAAATGAGAGAAATAGATAAATCATGGGAGAAAGAATGGGTGAATTTTTTTTTTAAAGGTATGAATCCCACCTCTTTGTGAAAGTAAAAGGATATAAGATCTTTTTCCCGTAAATCAAAACATGAGAAAATAATTCTCATGAAAGACGTGTATAAGGCTTTGGATATTCTGTTATGGCTTGGGCTTTGGATATTCTGTTATGGCTTGATCTGAGAGGTAGGTAATGGGAAGCTGGGTAGTGCTCGTCCACTGGTCAGCCTGCTGCCTCGGTTCTCACGGCATTGTTATCATTCATTTGTTCACCAACCAACAAAGGGAGAATAAACAAGTTTCCCGCATAAATTCAATGCTAAGTATTTGCCCTGCTTCTTTTGCTTCTAGAAACTTTATTAACCTTTCGATTTTAGACTAAACGCAAAGAGATGGATTAGACCTTATAAATTTCAACATCATATGGTTTTTAATTTCCTTGCTTGGGTGAAGCTCGGTTGGTGAGTTACTGACCCCGCAAATGAAATTTTCTTTCTTTCTCTCCCTCAAATTCTTAGACACTGTCTTTTTCTCCTTCCCCACCGCAATTATAAATTTCTTAATATTCTTATATTTTTATGCCATCGTCCTTCTTACTACTTTGACTTCTCTGATTCATTTCCATTTACAGTCTATTAAAAACACTATCCTTTAGAAGCAAATGTATATTTCTCTACCCAAAAGTTGTTGATTTAGCGATGATGCAGTTAAACCTCAGAATTTAATTTGCTTAAGGGGGCGGAGAAATTTTTATTTATACGAAAATCTCGATTTTTAAAAATATGATTTTTGTATTCAGTTTATGATAATATCCAAAAATTAAACTTTTAGAAAAGTTCAGTTTGTCAGGAATTCCGAAGAATCTCGTGTACCAAACGCCCCCAACGATTAAAAGATAATGAATTGGATTTATGGGAATTCGTAATATCTGAATAAGGTAAAGAAACACAAACCCAAAAGCCCAAAAGCAAATTAGTACGTCGGTTTAAGATTTCGGACACAAATGATCATCTACCCAAAAAATTGAAATTTTCTCTATTTTTCAAAATTTTGGTTTGGAAAGAAGACTTTTTGGTTTTTGAACGGTCTAAATAGTTTAGGCAATGGTACCTAGCTACACCATGCCCTTCTCAAGTATTTTAGACTGTCTATGTCCTAAAGTGATAAGGGAGTCAACTTGGAAGTTAGAACATATATATTACATTACATTATGACAATCTTCAGATGACAAAATATTCAAAATATTGACAAAAACTACATCATAATTAAATAATTTGCAAAATTGATGAATAATAAAAAAGAATGTAAAAAGAGATGTTTTTCCTCTCCTACTTATACATAAAAGTGTATGAGACTCACTATGTGAGGAGAAGAGAGAAAACAAAATATGAGTCTCACATATTTTATCTATATATAAAAAAAAAATTATCTCCTACGATATAAAAAACATTAAATCCTATTTTTATCCCAATATTGTAGAGAAAGAAAAAAGAAAAATAGTGTAGGAAAAAGATACTGTTCCATGTCAGATGCATGTACAGTAAGGCAGGAAGGGTCACAGGGAATGGACTCCAAAAAGTTGCAAGGAAAATAAAAAAGGACATAGCCCATAGTATATACAACTTAAATTGATTCCAGTTTAAGAAAGACAAGAAGAACAAACCTTATTCTCCTATTCTGGCAATACTAAATTTCTGGAATTTTCAATATACAAATACCTTTCTTTTCTGCCACACACACTATATAAAAATAGTGAGATGGATGTTCTCGGATTCATGTTTATCCCCTCACAGTTTTTATATTAATAATTCTCATTCTCTCTCTCTCTCTCTTTCTCTCTCCTATAATTCTAACTTGGGGATGTAAAGAGAGAAAGGTTATACCCCAATCAATATCAAAAAGCTCAAAGCACCACAACACCAAAACCAAAACCAAAAACAACAACATGGGCAGGGCTCCTTGCTGTGACAAAGCAAACGTGAAGAAAGGTCCTTGGTCCCCAGAAGAAGATGCAAAGCTCAAGTCATACATAGAACAAAACGGCACCGGTGGCAACTGGATTGCTTTGCCACAAAAAATTGGTATTTTTTATATCACACACTACTTTATTCCTAACCCTATTTATTTTGGGTTTCTTTTCTTTTCTTTTCCTTAATTGATTCATTCACATATATTAGAAGCCTAGGACTCATTCAACATAAGAAAATTTCTACATACTTCATTTTCTAAATCAGGCCTGAAGCGTTGTGGCAAGAGTTGCCGTCTAAGGTGGCTAAACTATCTTCGACCTAATCTGAAGCACGGTGGTTTCTCTGAAGAAGAAGACAACATTATTTGCAGCCTTTACATTAGTATTGGAAGCAGGTACATATGATTAGTAGCTAACTAATTAAGAGCATGTGTTGTTTTTTGGTGCAACCGATTGAGTTTTTCTTTTGGTAGCTAAATATATAGATATACACACGTGTGAAACCCTTTGGTTTGTGAACGTATAGGTGGTCGATCATTGCAGCTCAATTGCCAGGAAGAACCGATAATGACATAAAGAACTACTGGAACACGAGGCTGAAAAAGAAGCTTCTTGGAAAGCACCGTAGAGAACAACAGTCACGTAATAGAAGCAACACTGTTAAGCAAGAAAGCAATAATATAAAGAGTGGTGATTGCTTATCCTTTGTTCATGAAAATAATACTCAACAGCCTTATTGGCCACAGATGCCTGTGCTACCATTGCAACCATTTTCATACACAAACCAAGGCCAGTACTGTTTCAACGACCAAGATTCTATTAAAAAGCTTCTTATCAAGCTTGGAGGGAGATTTTCCAATGATTATCATCCTACCCTTAATGGGTTGAATCTTCAATTCTCAGATGGTAGTTCCTCCACGCAACAAATTTATCAAGAACAAGTTCATATAGGCTCTTCTGCTTGCGTTAACACTAGTGTTAACAACAACGAAGTACAATTTAGTGCTGGACTTGACTTGGTGCAAGGACAAAGCAGTTTCACCCCAGAGATTGAGGAAACATTGGTATCTACTAATTATCCACAAAGATTAACTGGGTTGGAGTTCTTCTATGGAGAGGAAGACATGGTGGATGATAAGATAATAGGTTCTACTGCTTGTAGCCAAAGTACTAATTGGGGTGAAACAAGCACACTCAGTTATCAAACTCTCGCTTCGAAATACCAAGGTCAAGGTGTGAGGCAAGAGTTTAGCTACCCTGGGGAGCAATGAAACTCATGTACATTATTATTAATTAACTGCTGGTACTAGCCATTTGTCGCAAAGGGATGCTTGTAATTGATTATGATCATATTTGACAATAAAATTAGTTAGATATAAATAATTTGCTATGTTAATTTGCTTCTGCTCTCGTAGTCTTTCCCATGAAATTGTTGATCCGCTAGTGGCATAGTGTAGTTTCTCTGACTATTGTTTTGTTCTGTGTGTTACTTTGGCTGTCATTTAAATGTCCTCCATTTTCTGACTATAAATTTTGCAGCATGGTACTTAAAGTCAAGTATAGACTATATAGTTCATCTTAGGCTCTGAAAAACACAGCATTCATTTCCTTTCTACAAATTGGGTCCGGGAGATAAGAAAATGTCAGAAATATTTAATTATATATAACTGCCCGTTATGTGTTATCTTTCACGGATTTATGATTTATCCTATGCTATGCATATATATAGAAGACCAAATTCTACGTAATCGTAGGAAGGGGATCTAGCCTCTAGGCTCTAGGTACGGTGCCATATAGGCTGCAGTCTTAAAAAAAGGAAAGTGGCATTTGCCATCAAATTAATTTCTCTTCTGCATTGTCTTGCCAATTGCCATCTTTTAAGTCATTTCTACATGGCTAAGTAAGCATATATTATACATAAAATATCTTTACTAGTCTTGCATATGAAACTTAAAATTGCATAACATGGCATGTTTAAACGGGTTGCATTTTGTTTACTCCCCAAGAAAGCTATTTTTGGGGTTTTACGAAGTTTGATAATTATACTGATTTGATTTGTAAATTAAATGACTCTGCTAACATTGTTTTGAAATGATTTCAGGATTAATTACTATATGACTGTTCCATCTTCCTTTATATATTGTTAAATTAAACTAGATATTGGACTGTACCTGGAAGTTCAGTGCCACTGACCAAATAATTGCATTTGTTTAGACCATTATATACTTCAATATTAATGAGTTATGTGTATTCAAAGCTAAGAAGTCAATCTATCATCATTCAACAGTATATCACATGAATACTTACAATAGATATATCTGCTCCTCTTCAACAATAATCTAATAATTAACATGTATATGGTAGCTCAGTTGATAGCAATGGAGTTAAATAAGTGAAAAGAAGAGTGTTTCGGTTTAATTCTCACATGTCACCCTTTAGAAATGGTTTAAATATCTTAATCCATAACTCGTCCCGCATTCCGGATTAGTTCTATAGCCAGCTTAAAGAGTCGAAGTTTATGAAAAATTCTGAAAGAGCCAACTCGCTTCAAAAAAGTAATTATGATTATATTAATTCCAAAAAAATAATAATAATTAACATGCATACATCATACATAGTATAAAACTTAACATTGATTATTGCATAGCAGGACATTAATTTAAGATTTACCTTTGTTTTACTACTTATGCTACTTTCCCCTTCCCTTTCCTATATCCCCCCTCCTGAGCTTTCTCTCCATAGGTAGGGATAAGTCTTATAGGCCCTATATATTAATTAGTTGAATCCCTTGAAAACAAATTTTGTCAAAACAATGAAAAACCATGGTCCAGAGTTCTGACTAAGTGTCCAAGCTTGCATTTAATAATGTCATCCAGTGATTTCAAATGATCCGTCTAAGTATACAACTCTCTTTTTTTCGACGACATACTTTAAGCATTATATGTATATTTAGGATTAGTATCATTTTACATCGGTGTAAATTATACTCTTAATCTTAGCTATTGATCATATTTATATCTAATGACTCTAGTTTATTAAATATATAAACTATTTGATATAAACAAATCAATGATCAATATTTGGTGTAAGACTTTTTATTTTTATTTATATTTGAAAAATGATACATCTATATTTAAAACTCATACAGTTTTTTTACATCTTTTATTTTGGAAAAAATAAAAAGAGAGAAAAAGAGAAAGTAATGTGTATGTAGTGGGCGACAAAGGTTTGCTGCAGTTCCGTTTAATGGTCGTTTGAAAGGATTAAAAACCCATGTGCCAATTAATGCAGTCAAACATCAAATTGGTCCTTCCCGTTAGAGTTATAGAAAACTTTATTTTTTCACATCTTTGGTCTCTAATATTTATCTGAAAAAATAGACAAAATATATATTAAAACATATTTTTACTCTTTATTGAAAAATAATGTGTAAATAACATCATTTCTTTATATATGACTTTTTGTATCTTTTCATGATCAGTCAGAAGAATTTACTGTAATTTCGAGAAACGCTCTGATATATATTATATGTACTCCCAGTAAGGCAAATCCATCACGTATTTAATATTATTTTGTGTCCATCCAGAAATAAATGAGACATATGTACATACATTATGAAGCAATATGTGGCTCCTGTATTTTACCCACTTCAGATACCACCACAAAATCCAAACTTAGATGTCTACAGTAATCATTGAACTTTAAAACATGGGCTTTTGACTTAATAGCCATGCATCTGATTTTAAAATTGGAGAGGTTAAAGACTCAAATTCAAAATTTAGTAACCCCAAGCCACTAGAATTAATCCAGCGGTGAAAGATTTGATCTGGGAGGACGGTTTTGGGTAGTTTGTATACATGCGGTCATTGGTTCAAATTTTATTATCACCGTTGTATAAAAATAAATAAATTAGTAACCTCGAAGTTATTTATTTATGATATTTGATATTTTTTTTTTTTGGATTGCTCCACTAGTTTTCGGGGCTTCGTCCCGACTATGTCCAGTCCGACCCGGGTAGGTTACCTAGCATTGGCATGTGAGTCTCCCAGCGAGAATTTTCTGCATACACAAGGTCTCGAACTCGAGTCCTTACTTAAGCGAACCCAAGTTCCTTACCACTTGAGTTTTTTTCTAAATATATATATATATATATATATATATATATATATATATATATATAGAGAGAGAGAGAGAGAGAGAGAGAGAGAGAGAGAGCGCTCAAATAGTTTCAGGAAGTTTGTATAAGGTTTTGTACTTCTGTATATATATAAAAAAAAGGTTTTGTACTTCTCAAAGTGTATGTGTTCAAATTTCCTCTTAATCAATAGTCTCACTTTAGCGACAATTTTTTATCGGAAAATCTCCTAGTGAGTGGAAAAATTCTGAGTGAGTATCTTAAATGTAAAGTAATATATCTCTCCTACCATTTTACATATCAATATTAGAAAAAAGAGCATAGAAAATTTATGTGTTATTCCCCCCACATGATCCTCGATATGTATGTATATTCCAACAATTGGTTTCCATCAATATCACAAGCGAAAGACAGCTTTGCATTACTTAAATTATTGTCGTTTAATTACCCCACCTTTGACCTATAACCTTATGTTCAAAACTAACAGCCATAGCGATGAAAAATGTTCATCAATTGGATATTATATTCCAATAACATGTTGAATTTCTACTTGATGTGGTTGTCAGTTCTGGTCAAATATAGTTGGCATGCATCCTAACGACAAGTTTGATTAAATCTCAGTTCCATCCAATATATACATGTCAAGCTATTTTATTTGTTTTAATTATTTAACAATTAATGGACCAAAGTCCTCTTACGGTCTACAACACTAGAATTTTCCACTAACTCATGGGAATGGAATCCAATGAGTTATTTCTTGTATGTAAGTCCATCATGTTATTATTAATCTGTACTTTTATATGTTTCAGAATATGAATTTTGTCATGCTCTATGAGACCGGCACAAATAACAAGTTTTTTAAAAACAAAGAAAAAAGATGGAACAAAAGATTGATTCAGATAATCACATCTACACAACACAAGGGATATATATATATATATATATATACCTTTCACATTTCTGATGACTTTCCCTTGATCTGATTTTTATTAAGTGTGAAAAACAAAGAAAAAATCTAACAAATTGATTATTTAGGTTTACATTATCATATCCAAGTGTATAACTTTACAAGATGCATAGACCTCCCATTTTTTACTTGTTTGTTCAAAAGATCAAATAAGTCATTGTCCGATTATAAGATAATATATGGATTGGCTGACTGTATGTAGTTGATTACAGTTGTAATATTTTAGATGAATTTTTGTTGACTGCATAGATATTCTGGCAAGCTATGGTCGTAATTTGTTAGAGTTGGATCAGATATAGGAGCAAAAGTTTGAAATTATTGACAAAACCATTAGATATCTAATGTCAAATTATGTTAAGTGTCAACCAACTCTTTCATTACTTACTATATAATTGCACCAACTATATAATATTTTTGTGGTCTATAACAGAATTATAGGATATTAATTAACAAATGAGAGTAGGTTGGTCTTTATAAACTACCTTGCCACATAGATCTTATGATTTTATCACTTTGCAAAAATAAAGGCACTCTATATCCAGAAAATAAGTGTAACTATCAGAATTTAGAGAATAATATAAACTATTAAAAAAGTTCTACCCAACACTTTAAGATTTTGAGTTGAATTTGTTCTTTACAATGTATCAGGGTTTCAGTGACCATAAGGTCACGAGTTCGATTCTCACCACCCTCCACTTTCGAGTGGAATTAAAATAAGCACAAGGTAAACCAAAAAATTGGACATATGCAATATCCACACTTCAAGCCCAAATGGCTCTTGTGTGAGGAATGTGTTAAAAAATAATATAAAGTATTAAAAAAGCCCTCACAACACCTTAAGGTTTTGTTTGGAAGTTTAGAGGAGAAGTGAAGAAAGGGGATCCAAAGGGAAAGAAAGGAAAGGAAGAAAAGGAAATTGGAGGTATTCTCTTCCCGTATTTGGAAGTTAAAAAAATGGCAAAGAAGAAATATGGAGGGATAATGAAATATTTTTATCATTTTAATCATTTTTAAAAATTAATATAATTTTTATATTTTACAAATAAATTTAATTTAAAATTTCTAACAAAATTATTTATGTACTTTTCACACTAATATAAAAGATCATATTTTCGACGAAACTTTTACTTTGCAAACGATGAAAATTCCATCGAAAAAGTATTTTTCTGTCAAAAT